TTTGGCAACGGGGTTTTCACCCACTCCTTGAGATAATGAACGAAGCTCCCTCACGAGGAGCTTTCGTGACAACCGAGGACGGCGTGCCCGACTTAAACGCCGAAATTCAGACACAAGCCGTACCGCATAGAAGAAAAAAACGACAACGATCTTTGGAGAACAGTGCTCCGAAGCATTCTCAGACGGACTGTGAACCTGGCATCAATGCTGGACACGAATCCAAGCCCCATTGCAGCGCCTGTCCAAACATGCTGCAAACAACATCGGGATTGTAAACCCCTGCTGAGCTGCAGAATCAACCTGCCTTCACCATCTTCCTTCTGCCTTGGGCGCGCTGCTGCCATATGTTCCCACTGTCTGTGCGCCACGCTCCAAGCTCTCAGCTCAAGGGCGTACTGCGCAATGATGCAGCAGTCCTGCCAGACCGTTGGCTGAACGTGTGCTGGGAAAGGCAATCGGGCCTCTAGACGCCTTTGGTATTCCAAGGATTCCCAGGCACACCTGGAAGTTCTTGACTCGACTACATCTACCAGCGGTCCACGAGTGCAAGGTTTTGGCTTGGAATGAAGACCTTAACCCTGCCTCTCCGACGACACGGGCTGTGTGGCTTTTCCAGCGCCCTGTGCGAAATGCGAGCTGTGAGCAGGATTAACCTAGAAGGTCCTCTTGCAGAAAGCCTCGTCACGCTGTTGCAGAATCCGCATGATTGCCTGCGTAAAGAAATACAACACTGGGTCGCAGCCTGCTGCTACAAGTACGACTTAGACGGTGCCTCGTATCGCCGTGTGACCGTTTTCGGAGGGAGAGCATACGCGTTCCTGAGTCGTGCTCGTGCCTTTGCACGCGACTCGGGCATCGGGTAGCTCAGGCCGGTGCTGTTTTCGGAGCTCCAGGACCATGCCAAGAAGAAAACAGCGGGGCTGGCGAAGGCACTGCAGACATCCATCGGTTACGCTGCGCCGACAATGCCTTGAGGTTCAGATTCATTATCCCGACGGCGACTGGGTTCCGCTGCAAGAGCTCAGCCTGTCATCGCAGGCGGAACATTTACTCAGCACGCTGGCCAGACGTGCAGCCTCAGCTTTGTCCATTTGGGCGGCAGTGACCTTATCTGCTTTCGTTCAGCGATATGCTGCGGTTGGAAGTTATCAAAGATAAACATGGGAATACATGGGAGAATCAGGGCTCGGCCGCTTCAGGCTCTTTGCCGTTGATTGCAGTGGCCTGAAGCTACAAGCAAGTGACAACTCCTGCCGACTTGCAAAAGACTTGGTGTGTGTTGAGCAGGGACTTCCCGACCCCTCACAAAGTGCACGGCATCGATTGCACGCTGAACAGCAGCCTGACAAACCTGTCCGGACACACTGGGATGAGTTGGCCGAAACCTTCGGAAATCTTCTGGGTGCGTTGGTGCACTGGTTTGAGAAGGGAAGGAAGCCCTGCCAGCGGCGGCAGCGGCTGCGCCCCACCACCACCACAGCCCCGCTGCAGCTGTAACAACAAGCACAACCATCACATCCACAAACACGCTCCCACAGCCCCGCCAACAACAACAGCTGCGAAAGTTCAGTGGATACCACAACAAACTGTTCCGAAGTAACGTGCAAGGCTTATTCAACTTTGAGGCGAAGTAAGCCTGAAAGCTCACGCAGCACTTCTGTCCACCACAGCAACAAGGGTCCACGCTCCGCAGTGGGGCAGAAAGTTCGAAAAATCTATCAGAAAAGAAGGACATATGATGAAGAATGCATGTATTTCAACACACCCTTTCGAGCTTAGAGCAGAAGACTTTACACTCGCATGAGCCATCGCTAATCTAAGCAGCAAAACGGTCCCACAGGAAAATCAAACATTGATCTTTCGTGGTGCTCGTTGTGCATAAAATCTGTTGCAGACTGTGTAGCAGTCACAACATTTCACTATGGAGCAAAGCTTGTTTGACAAACTTTACAGCTCGCAAGCTGCGTGAGCAAGTGGGGGAAAATTCTTTCATGATTCAGAAGGCGGAAAGCACGGACTGTCAAAGTTCGGTCCAGCCCAGCAGTGTGGGAGCAAGAAAGCCCTGAAGCATGGTCTGTCAATGGCGAAACATCGACGCCCATGTTTCATGCTGTTCCCGAAGCCAACGTAGGCGCATAAGGCGAAAGCATCGTCACAGCGCGCCTAAAGCACTTGTGACCCTCAGGATCCCGGTCAAGGTACAGCCCAGGTGCATCCTCAAAGTGTCTGTGGCTGTGGCCCGTGCCGGGCGGAAGTGCTTCAAACCGTAACGCTCTAGCATCGTCGCTAAGAAAAGAAGAATGGGCTCAGCCCAAGAAGCGTGACGCTTTGGTTCGCATCCCAAGCAATCGTCATCTTCAACAACACGTCTTTCTGAAGAGCCTGAACAAAACAAGATACCAAAGATCATCAACAACAGTACGGCCTTCACAGTGAAACTCAAAAGGAATTTCCGGAGGAATGACATATAACACTCTCCATCAACCAGGCCACGAAGAAAAGGCACAGCCAAAGTGAGTAAGCGAAGTGCTGGGTGAACCGAACAGCACCAATCCGGTTTTCGAGCTTAACCCCACTTCGTAGAAATCGCAATGTCCAATAGTTCAGGAAAGAGTGCCACTCAGCTTAGGTCAGTGGGTTTGGGGCAAAGCTTTAAAGCAGTACAGCCAACAAAGAAGGCACTGACAAACTTACTCCTGGGATCTTCGGCTTTACACAACTTGCACCTGAATCGAAAAATGTCCAGGGTTGGGTGCCCTCCAAAGCTGGTGCCACTAAGTGTTCTCGCGAAGCAAAAACCATTGAAAGTCGTGCTCAACGCCTACAGACCAGTATCACCAGCACTCAAAAGTTGATGCTATTTTCTTCGACCATTCAAGGAGAAAGTCTCAAGCGCGGACATGTTGCTTGAAGGTCCAAAAGCCGCTATTTCACCAAAATCAAAAGTGCACAACTCCATTCGTCATCCCATCCAGATGGAAGCTATGCCCCAAACCAAAGTTACTAAGCTAAACTGCGGACATCAGCAAACGTTGAGCTTTGGGCTGGGGCTTCGATGTTCAAAGTCCTGGTGGTTCTTGCAAAATTGCGGTGTTTGCGGCGGGGACATCTTTTTTCGGCTTCTTTGAAGGAGCGGCCTCTAAGGCCAGTCATTCCAGTATCCCAAGACCAAACTGACTCGTCCCAACAAGCTATCATCGTAAAGTGCTCCGAAGTCCAATCCCTAAACCCAAACCAACCATCGGACTCAGCAAAGTAAATCCAATCTCCTGTCTCCTCACTGGGGCAAAGGCGCAATCTCCCTCTCAACTGTCACAACAACAGAAACACTCCAGTGCAAGCAGTTGCTCGAGAAATGTCCGATCTTACCCACCGATCAGCACCGAAGTTGACGAGAACGATGGCAAATTCATGTTCATTTGCTTTCTTTGTCTTTGTCCTGTCCGTTTCCTAAAGTTGCCATGCAGTCTTCCTGACTTCCCTGATACTTTCGACAGGTTCTTTCCTTTTGCCTTTCTTTTCATTCCCTGCTTTCCTTTTCTAATATGTAGCAATGTAGCCGACATCCATAGGAGCCGAGACTGCAGCTTCGAAAGTTGCATTCGCCGAAGTTTGTGTCCCGGATATCATGCTGATGGTTTCGCTGGGTGTGGGGTATCAGGCTTGAGAGCTTGGCGGCCCAGGTTTTACGATGTCAGGCTGAAGCTTTCAAGGAGGGTCTCTCCGAATCGGCAACAACCCTTATCTAGTATCACCATCTTCATCGCCATCATCCGTACTACCTGGCATCATCTGGCATCCACATCAGAATTATCACTATCACCAACATCACACTCCTCCTTGTGATTCGTATGTCATCGGTCTCATCATACAGGGACATGGGCAGAGTCATCACCAGCATCAACATCATCA